ATGAATATACATATATATGTTTTACAGTAAAAGGGCACTTCTATTTTGATTGTTTTCATTTTATTTTATTTATGTATGATTTATGATGTGCTGCACTGGTAAATCAGTTCACACAACAGTTGGTTCAAAGCTGAGTTTGCTATTTAAGTCAATATCCTTTGTTCATGTTTTCACTATACAGTACATGGTGGTACTTTGGTCAAAGAATGGATGAGTAGTACTCACATGTCAAAAAATAGAAGCTTTTTTTGAAGTATCTTCTTCTGTTATGTCATATGATAGACGATACTAAACTCCTTTAAACAAACTGTTATTTATTCACCATTTATTTACTTCAGAAGGGCTGAAAATATGACATCTATTTGTTGCACATTTCTTTAACCATTTGCCGTTTTATTTTATTTTTTTTATCTGCTTCATTAGGAAATGGCGAAGATATTGAATCATCCTCGGGTCTACGCCTTCCTTCATGTTCCTGTGCAGTCGGCCTCTGACAGCGTACTGATGGACATGAAGAGAGAGTATTGCATCAATGACTTCAAGAGAGTGGTGGACTTTCTCAAAGAGAGGTGAGGCCACGCTTTCAGTTTTCTGCTTCTGAAAACCAAAACCAACAGTAATAATGAAAAAAAGTAACGTCTGATCTGAACAGAAACAGTTAGAATCATTGATTATAAATGTTTACTCGATGATTTCTGATAACTAATGTATGCTGTGGTACGGTTTATTTCAGTGCTTCCAGGTTATTTGAATATCTAGTTGCTGCATGTCTACACTTCTGTTAGCTGTGTAACGTCAGTGGAGTTCCTCCAGCTCCAGTTGTTTTTACAGGTGTTCTATAGAAATATAGTGGCTGTGACACTGATCTGGTCAAACTCTTTACTCTCTCTCTCTGCTAAAATACACACAGGAGGCGTACGGACACACACACACACACACACACATCATCACACACAGGCACACTCCCACACAGACGAGCTTACCAGTCACATGGTATCACATCCTCAGATCTTGTTAACACAAACTGTCTGGCTACTCTTTTGTAAGATTCTTTGTATACGTCTGGGTGGTTTCTCAGTTTCTGGCTTTTGTTTTGTTTTTAAAACACACACGCGCACACACAGTGACACACACACACACACACAGTCCACTCTGGTCGTCTACGATCAATGCCAGTAAATGTCCAGTGGCTTGATCCACTTGGCTGCTGCAGTCGTGGCCAAAGTGCTGTTTCGTGTCTGGGATCGAGTCCAAGGCCTCGGACAAGCCAGAAACACAGCCAGAGTGTGTGTGTGTCTGCGTGTGTGTCTGCGTGTGTGTGTAAAATGTAAGAACAATATCAGTTGTCTTTTTTGAGAAATTTTGATTGCCTTTCTGGGTTAGCTCATTTTGAAGTTAGTGTTGAAATGAACTCTCAACATCTTCCACCAGCCCAGTCCAGTCATGTAATCAGTTGATCTTTTCTATATTAGTGACTTTTTTTTTTCAACATATTTTCATATTATTAATCAATCATTTTGATTAGCTGTGAATAAAAACAGGTCGTAAACCTGTTGTTATTTGTCTTTCTGTTACAGCATTATACAATAATGTTTTGTTTTTTTTGTCATTTTAAGGAATGTTAATTTATCTTGGTTAATCAGCATTACTCCTGATTGATCCTAATTAATTACAATCACAATTTATCCTGATTAATCCACAGCTACCCCTGTAATTAATCAGTTTATATTTTTCCCCCATCATTTGACAGAGCTAATTATTTTGTCATTCAGGACTTCAAGATGTTTCTATCAAGACAAATTAAATTGATTCAGTTTTTGCTGATCATTTTAGCTCTACGTACGTTGGAAGCTGAATTTTTCTAATTTCACACACGTTTTGTCCTCAACTGCATTCCCAGGTTGGGTCAGTGTTACACGGTGTCAGCTTCACTCAAACTGATGTGGCAGGTGGAAACTTTGCACAGGTATCTCTAGGTCAGGGTTTATCTCACGGAGACACACACAACAGGAGACACGTGAGACCAGAACTTCTATGCTACATATTTAGGATCCCACAGCAAACTGAAACCACACTTTTTTATTCACATATATTTTTAAAAATATTTATATATTCTTTGAAAGTTGTTTGGCTGTGTTTCTCCACTGCATTTCTCACCACTTCTTTACATGTACTGTATGTTAATGCACCAGAGAGTGGACTCAGGGGAGCGAGCAGAGAAAGTAATTTCTCACATTAATGACCGCACAACAGCGTGTTTATCGAACAGTTTCTTCCACAGTTAAATCTATTTTAAGTTTTAGGGTCTTCTGATGGTTGACCGCCCCAACCTCCTGTCCCTGAAAACTCATTCACACTTATAAAATCTGAAGGCAAATCAGGGCAGACTGCCAGGAAACTTGAAAAAAAAAATCAATTTTGTCTTTCTTGAGCTTATTTCGCATCCTGGCTGAACTGGAAAACAACGAAAACTCAATTAAAACAAACAATACCGTAAGTATTATAGATTTAGTTCAACTAAGTCGTTATTGACTTTTGTTAAGCGCAGTGTGGGTTGGTTTTTTTCACCATTGATAGTGGAGTTTTTATGTCTATTCTTCCAGTTTAATGATTCAATAGAAACAGTATTTGTGATTGAATTTTTCCCTCCATTATTTCACCTAATTTAGACTTTAGGTTCTCCTACAAAATACCATTTCCACTGAAGCTGCACTTATTCACAGTGTGAAAAACTATTAAATTTGTCTTTTGAATGACATAATAACTCATTTCTCTGACTTGTTATAACTGATTGTTTCATGCCGTGCCTAATTCTAACAATCGGCAGCGTAATTATTTCAATAAAATGGTTAATTTGCCCTGGTCTACCCACACAGAGCAATTTTTATTCAGTCTTTTCTCCCTGCTGCTATCAATTAAAATCACATAATGAAGTACAGTCTTTATGTAATGATGTAAAGAGAAAATCCGGTTACGCCGGAATAAGACTGTTAAAGAGTTACTGCGCTCATGGTCAGAGGATTTGCCACACTTATGTCTTAGTTTGCCATAATACAGGGCCGGTTTCCCCTCAACCGCTCGCAGGGATTTAGTGTTTGAACCACAGGGGCTGAAGATGAAACGACTGGAAAATAATAGTCCGGGTGTGGACGGCTGGTCGTGTGAGCACAGAGCAGCATATTGTTGTAGTAATGAAAGTTGAACTTTAGGGTTTTGTGTGGTTGAGGAGAAAAGCAGGAGTGTAGGCTGTCGTGTTACTAATATTCCTTTGGATGATTCTGGGAGAGGGTATTGAACGCTGAGATTTTCTCAAACCTACAGTTCCTCCTGGGTGTTTGATTAGTTTCCCTAGAGGTCACATGCTCCTGACCTCAGGAAACAAACACAGGCCACACAGCTCCATCTTAGGTCACATGCTCCTGACCTCAGGAAACCCTTCCAAACACAGGCCACACAGCTCCATCTCCCAACGAGTCTCCCTCATTTACATGGCTGTGTTTCTTTTCTATGTTCCTCACTGGGATATTTTCAATCCAAACATTTCTGATTTAATAAAACAAATAGGGGAAAACAATTATGGAAATGTGTTGTTTTTGTAGCCTTTAGTTGGACAGGTCTACAGTTGGTTAATCTGTTCAGTCTCATCAGTCTGCAGTGAGATTCAAAATAGATTCAAATTTCATAACATTTATACAGAACTTTTAACCTTTGGCGTTGACATCACATAACACCCTGTTGACTTGTCTCTCTGGCCTTGTCTAAATAATGAAAAACACACTGAGATTTTACTGCAAAGTCTTAAGTCCAAATATGCTCTTCAGTTCAGATTACATGAATAAATATCCTGCTCTCAGTTTAGACATAAAATCTATATATATATTGACAACACATGCACTCGACTCTGTTCTTCTTTGTATTTTTAATTTTTGAACTAAACTTTACTTTGCTTTAACCATATTTGTTCACTCCTTCAGGGTCTTACATTTCAAAATGCCAGAACTGAAATAAAATCCTAATTTATCTGAGATTAGTTTGAAACATCGTGTGATTCTATGTTGAAATCCAAGGCTTCATAAATGCTTACATAGCTGTCACAGTAAAGACAGTATTTTAATCACAGCAAATTAGTTGCACTTTACCGGCTCACACAGGTAGCCGAAGCAATTTGTATGCTTGATTAAATGAGTGATAATTAAAGATGTATTACTTGAAGATAATTCTGTTGTGACTGTGAAAATAAGACACATGCTTAATTTAGCACAGCTCCAGATTAAATACCTGTCAGTGGTGCCATCATTTTTATAATAATTATAACCTCATTATAACAAGGATTGATGAATTTTTTTTTTTTTTTAAAGACAACCAAAGTTGTTTTTATTAAGATTGAATCCTGGAAAGATGAATAATGTGCATTTGTTTTTAATCTTTCAACAGTCGTGACTCGATTGCTTAAAGTCCCCGGTATTAAAGGCACCTTTCGTGTGATGCAATGTGCCGACAGAGCGACGCTGTGACTGTTGATATAGTGTCCTGATGATAACCTTTCTGTCTTGGCCTCTCATGAGTGTATCGACTGTTCCTCCTCAGACAAACGGCTCCGGGACATGTGTGTGTGTAGTTGTGCTTCGCTATGTGTGTGTGTAAGAGAGAGAGAGAGAGAGAGAGAGAGAGAGAGAGACACCTCAGTGACTGCGATCTTGCATGTGCACCTGTTAGCCGTCTCTGTTATGCTGCGTTCACACCAAAAGCGTTAGAGGCAGAAAAAAAAAATTCTTTGTAACACCTATATCGCGCCGCTTGGTCATTTTTGTCGCGCCCCTAGATGCGCAGCGGGGGTAATTGGCGTGAGTTATTTATCTGCTCATTTCTTAACTCAGTTCCACCGGTACTTCACAGTAGTTACAGTAGAGTCCCATCTCCTGGATAACTTTAGCTATTAGTTTTTATACTGGTCCACGTGATGACGTTGGGGTAAACCCATCACTGATTGGTTGTGGCGGTGCTTTGCCTATGCTTCTTTCACATCGCCCCATATGACCTATCGCTTCATCTGCTTCATCGTGTCACATCCGAAGCTCCAATGGCGTGGCTCCGGATTGATTGTGTTTGTGGAGCTGCCGCTATAAAGTCTATCACTTTTGGTGTGAACAGCCCATAAGTCACGAAGAGTGGTGTGGATTATATCAAACGTCTCCAGGTTACAGCAGGACACATGCATCAGTGGCGTGACTACACAGTGTGGAGACGGCGTTTCGCTCTGTTTGTTGTTAAAGACATACCACCATTAAGTTACACACACACACAGTGTTTAAGGTATCAGCAGAGCTAATGTTTCACTGAAAAAGTAGGTTGGGCGGCAGCTCCCTGAGGGCAGGTGTCTGAGTGTGTGTCTGTTTGTGTGTGTTTAAAGAGGGATTAAAAAAAAAGAGAGAGGGTAGGTGAGGCGGGAAGACAGAGCTAGGTATGACAGGTTTACCGCGAGAACCTGCCACAGTGGCGCGACTTGTCAACATTTGACGCCTCCTTTCTCTTCCCCGTGGCCTCCAGCTGATGACTCAGCACCTGAAGTAAATCAGGCAATGAGAGTTTCTGTGTGTTTTGACTCCAGTCTTTAATCTCAAACCCTTAAATCACATGGCTAGAATACCAATGTGATTTTGACAGCTGAGTCACTGCCCCAGAATGGGTTCTCGCGTGCATTACAAGTACGAACCTCTACGGTTTGAACTGAGTCAGTCTCAGTCAGGACGTCAAGAAAGGGCCTGTTTAAAAAGTAAACAAATTAGATTTAGAGTTTTAGATCTTTTAGTTTTTGGTCTTGTTTCATGTCAAGAAGGTTTTCTCCTAAGCACAACAGAGCAACATTGGTTTGTATGTAGTTTCTGTGCACGTGTGTTGACATCATCCAAACCTGAGCAACAGTGAAACTCAGGTCAGAGGTCAAAAGGACAAAATGACAAACACAAACTCTAAGTCATGACATCATCACAGCTCTGAGTGTGTTTGATGATTGACCATAAGTATGAGTGTTGTCTGATTGGTAGATAAAGGACAGAATAATTAAAAACAGTTACTAAAACAAAATAAATACATAAAATAGTCAAACGCAGACATATCAACCTTAAGTCAGGATTTTGCATGCCAGATGTGGGCCCCCCGACCACGAGTTTGAGACCGCTGTGTTATGGTATCTGAAGAAGCATCATTTCATATTAATAAACCTTAGGTGGTAAATCATTTATCAAACTTGAATCAACAGACAAATGTCATGTAATAATAATACAACGGCTGATAATATGAAGCTTTTCAGTCATGGCATTTCCACAGACCTGTAGGTGAGGCTGTTGTATTCGACTGACACTGACCCGTGATTTCATGCAATCAGTTTCTCACTTCATGTTTCCTAATCGTCGCTGACAGTCACTTTGTTTTTATGTGTTTGGTTAAGGTTATGAACGTTCTTTAGTCCAGGAAGCAGAAAAGTAAACAACCTTCCTGTCCAAATACTTGACGGTGTGTGTCACCCAGTCAAGTGTTGTGAGTTTGCTCTGTTCAAACAACAGGAAAGAAGAAGAGCATGAGTCATTGACCTCATAACAAGCTGAACCTGAGGTGTTGGTGCCCGCATGTGTGTGTGTGTGTGTGTGTCTGAAAAAGCAAAACACTTGTTGATAACAACAGTTTTGTCAGATCTAAACACATCCTTGTCTTTTTTGTACATTGTGTTCACTATTCTGCATTTCCTCACCACAACTAAACACAACAAACACACACACTCACACACATTAGGTTTCTACGCGCTAGTTTCTGTGCACGTCTGTTGACGTCATCCAAACCTGAGCAACAGTGAAACTCAGGTCACTGAGGTCACAAGGACAAAATGACAAACTCTTAAGTCATGACATCATCATCAGCTCTGGACCAAATCAAACTGGTCATATTTTCTTTACTGCTTAATTGCTTAAAGGCTTAATATTAGACAAAGTTACGACTGAACCGAACTGTTTTTGTGGTTCTGTGATTGCTGTAAATAAAATTATTGATGTTTTCTTATATTAGGCTTATATTTACCCTCATATTTACCTTTCATTCCCATATTTACTATGTGTTTAACAGTTTTTCCCGTAAGAACATAGAATCGGAAACTTTACGACATTTAGCTTCATCATTAGTCCAGTGTTTGAGTATTGGTTACACACTGAAACACACACACACACAAAACAAGTGAGAGATTTGACTCGGAGCATGTTCAGGGATGCATCACTGGAGTGCAGTAGCGTGTCAGCCGCCGTGCTGACATGTAAACAACCTCTCCCCAAACATAATTGAAAGTCAGGTTACACGGCAGCAAAGTGCTAATTTTCCATGCGCTTGCACCATCCCAGTATTCACACGTAAGCAAACATGGCGTTAACTGATACTGGTACCTGTAGCTGCACAGTCACCCTCTGACTCACCGTCTCTCTCCCACTCTGTGTCTCTGTCTCTCCCTCCCTCATATCATATTTCCCTTGCTCAGTGTTTGGCTCAGTCTGACTCTCAGGGCTTGTTTTCAACCACACAGTTTCACTTACAGCAGAGGTGTAATGTTTAAACAGGGGGAAAAACTTCACCCAACTCCAGCAGCAGCAGCAGCAGCAGCAGCCCTGGAGTGTATAATCGCTGGCACCGGGTTCTGCTCCATTATCTCCTCTGAGTTAGCCTTTGTTTCTAAAGTCGTATGAAATGTAAACAGTTGAAAAGGAGGGAAAGTGGCCGCCCAAAAACAGAGCTGGAAGGTCAAGTAATGTTTAGCTAATTTGACTTAGTAAACCCTAAGGAAAAAAATGTTTAGCTAGAGTTCTAGGATTTTTACAAGGGCCTGTAGCCTCAGGACACGAGGTTGGGATGTATATATATATTTATATATACATATATTGCGATTTCTTGTACCTTTAAATTTCTAAAAAAAAATTGCGAATTGGTAAAAAAAAAATTATTTAAATATATTATTTGCACTGTTTGTGTTGATAGAGCCTAAAGGTCAGGAGTTCAGTTCATAATGGAGAAACATGAGACATGTTTCCCAAAGGTTAAAAGTTCAGTTCTGTGCAAACCTGTTGAAAACGAAGACAGTGTTGACCTGAATGTCTTGTTCTCTCCTCTCTTTACACAGTGGTTACAAAACCCCATGTTCTCATTCACTGTTACAGTGTAGTGGAAATGTAAGTTATTATTATTATTCCGTCCATCAGTTTCCGTTGCGTTTCGTTCAGTTGTCCCTCAACTTCTCATCCAACGGTGTGACATCCGTCTTTGTAACAGAGCCTAGTTCAGTAATAAATTTTATTAACTTACTATTTCACTGTAAGTGTAAGAGTGCGCCTCCGGCTTGGCCGCCATTCATTGGCTCAGTAAAAGCTCTCAGGTCCAGCGTGAATGTGGAGCCTTGATGTCGTCCCTGTCTGCGCGCTCACCTCGCTGAACCGGGTTTGAATGATGAATCATTTACTGTGGCTGTGTCAGTTAAGGTTGGATTAAATTGAAATAAAGTGCAAAGAGAT